CTGTCCCCCCCCCCGTCCCGCCCCCTCCCCCCCCCTGCACTGAGCTAAAGAATTCATACTGGTAAAAATACAGTTTTGCTGCTGTAGCTGTTAGCTACTTTAGTGGCTTCTGCTGGCAAAGTTGTGTCAGTCAAAATCATATCTTTGTATAGTTTAGACCTTTGTAACTGTCCTAAAAGAAAACTGTAGTGGTAACATAGATTAACTTTTTAATAAAGAGTTTGTAAATGTATAACCTGTTGAATAGCAAGTCAGTACTCAAACAAATTGTTGGCCAAAGCTGAAGGGTGAAGGACTTGGTCACTGTGCGTGAACTGTGGACTATGACATCACAGATACCTTCCCTTTGCCATAGGACAGTTCAAAAGCACACTGTGCCCAGAGCAGTTGCATGCTATTCACATTCCATGCTGTGGATCATAAAGTGGCTCTTTTTTGATGATCTCTTTATGTCATGAGTGGGACTTTCACCTTGGCCCAGCAGCAGAGCAGCTCAAGTTAACAAGCTTTTCTCAAGATGTTTTTATAGATTTGAGAGGCAAGGATTTCTTAGGTTAATATCTCTCATTGGACCAATTAGTGTAAAGTTAGACAAGCTTTTGAATGCAAGACATTCTTCCTCAAGTCTCTTGCATGTCTTGTATTTGAAAGTGTAACTTAATCCCAATTACTCAGTGGGCGCATCTACACAAGACACTTAACTATGCAGTAAAAACTGCTAATCACGAGTAAACTTGATACCTACAAATACAGGTATCACATTTACTCATGCTTAGTAACTGCACAGTAACAAGCACATAGACATAATCTGGGAGCAAATTTGCTCCAAGGTCAACTCTGACACTAGGGGGCCAGCCTGAAGCTAGCCCCAGAGCTCCGGGCTGGGAGCCTCTCCTGTCCTAGGGCTGGACTGCCTCTATGGCAGCCTCTGCCTCAGGCCCTTAAACGCCTGTAGGCATTTTGACTCCTGGGCCACACAAGCAGATAGCCTAAAGTGACTCCAGGCCCTATATTCCCCTAGGCAGCCCACAAGCTAGTATCACCAGCCTGCCTGCACCCTAGCACCACTGCTTGGCACTGCGGCGCCGTGTGGCTGACAGGTCTGCCCCATCCAGGCCTGCAAGCTACTGCAGGCTTCAGCCAGGTCTACCAGCTCCCAAACTGAGCTGCAGGAAGCTTCAGACTCCCAGGGCTAGCTCCAGCTGCCCACAGCCAACCCCCAGCAGCCTGCCTGGAGCCTGCAGGGCATTGCCTCAGCTGTCTGGCTATCACTCCCATGATGGGCCCCTGTGCTGGGCACTGTACTTATGCAGGACCAGCATCAGAAGGACAGTGCACAGAGGCCCAGAGAGCCAGCATGAGACCCATAATGGCCTCATCTTCACTGCCACCCATGCCAATACCCATGCCCACCACCTGGGGCCCCAACTGGACCAAGGAAGAGACTAGTGACCTTGTGACACTGTGGGATGAGGCAAAGGTGCAGTGCCAATTAGAATGGGGGCGGGCATTATGACACCCACATCTATGAGGGGTTGTCAGGCCAGATGCAGGAGCTCTGTCACAGTGGGTTGGCACAGCAGTGCTGTATAAAGGTCAAGGCCTTGCGGGCACAGTGAGTTGCCATCACCAACCATAATCATCAGCCAGGGAGTGCCAGTAAGTCCATGCCATTTATGCAGCAACTGATAGTCATCCTTGAGCCCCAGAACCCAGGCCACAGCCGTGCTGTGTACAGCAGCACAGGTGGCCTGCCTGAGACCCTGCCCTGGCCTGGCACCCACAGTGGAGGCAGGAGATAGTGCAAAGCTTTATTGAGAAACCCATGCCCTCACAGCTAAGCAGGCATGGGCTTCTCACATACCAAGAAATGCATCAATGCTGACAGCAATGTCCTCCTTGGCAGCAGTGAGCAGGGATGTGTAGTTCAGCCACAGGTAGCCCTCCCGGCAGTGGCAAAAGTTGCAGGACATCCCAGGCTTGCCCCACATGCCGTCATAGCTCAGGATCCCATGCCAGGTGAAAAGATTCTCCTGGGACACCATGGCAGCAGCAGTGAGTTGGGCACACCTCAGTCCTCACACAGCACCTGGGACACACACAGAAGGGGCATGGTTGAGGTACAGTGGTGGCATGGTGGGGGGCTGGCCCTGAGTTGCCTCCCTAGAGAAGACCCCTGCAGGGAGGGTGGAGGCATGGGTAGCTCCTTGTCCCAGTAATCGGGGAGCCCTGTGCTCCCTGAGCCTGGACACTGTGGGCTGGGTGGAAGCGCAGAAGACAGATGCCTGCAGGAGAAGGGGGGAGCAGGGCAGCAAGGTCTGGAGCTGTGGCACCAAGTGCTGCCAGGAGCCTGGCCTGTCCCACCCTGGCAATGGGGTGGGGAAGGCAGGCTGCCTGAAACCAGAACCCAGCAGCCCACTGGCTCCTAAGGAGCAAGCAAGGATGGAGGGATTCAGCAGGCAGCCACCTGAGCCCTGGCCTGTCCAGCTGACTTATCATGGTCCCTGAATACCCTTACATGTCTGACCCATGATTTGAGGCCTGGCAGTGCATGGCCCTGGTACAGAACACCTTATCTCCAAAATGTTGCAAACTCACACAAACAGCTTCTTTCTCATGGCTCTACAGGCCCTGCAGCTGCACGCCTGGCAATGCTTGGCAGCCAGGATGCAGCCTCAGGGCTGCTGCTGCCCACAGCAGGAGCCCTGTGGATGCACTGACTCTGCCACAGGACCCTGAACTAGACTGACTGGTCATGGAATTGGAGGACCAGCTGGCAGATGCTTGGACTTGGCAAGCAGAAGATGTGGCCCACCAGGACAGGTGGCAGGCAGAGGATGTGGCCCAAGGATGAACAGGCCCAGCATGAAGAGGCATGGGATTGGGCAGACTAGGAGTTCCAGTCACAGCTCCAGGCCGTGAAGTGCAAGTGGGTAGAGGTACTGCAGGAGCAGACCATGGTACTGAGCAGGGCAGTTCAGGCCATAGACAACCACTAGGTGCTGGACACCATTCTAGCATTAGCAGTCACCTTCATGCCAGCTGCTGCCCAGGCCCCAACCCTAGCCCTGCCTGCCACCTGGAAGCTACCTGCCACCAACAGCAGGCCCCCACCCAGGCCTGGTAGGAGGTCC